GAATTCTGAGAAAAAAGTCAGAATTCAGAGAAAAAAGTCAGAATTCTGACTTTAATCTCCCATGTTAAACTGAAGTAAAATTTAAAAATCAGTTAACTTTTTTTTTTTTCAGTGGCCCTAATCCTCTTCCGTAAGAACCCCTATAATATAAGTTAAAATAGTATTTCATTTACCTGATAAAGAACCGGAATTAAAGGGAGAACTTGAAATATACTCTTATTTCTTGTTGTTATTGTTCTTCTCATTTTAAATGGGCAAAAATGTATTTTGTAATCATAACCTACTTTAGGTCTAATGAAAATATCACATGACTTTGACTGAAGACTAAAGTTAATCTCTCAGTTTATGTTTTCTACCTTTGTTAAGCTGCTAAGGTTAGTCATTCTTTGTCTCCATGTCTCCTTTGTCTTCTCATTGGACAGGCCGCAGGACATTATTCAAGTGTGACAAAAGGGACAACAATTTAAGGACATTTAAAATAGAAATTTGATCTTTTTAGATTTTGGTTTAAATTGGGGGACAATAAAAAACATTTAGTAAATGCTCTGTTCTGATTGGCTGCATGTTTGAAGTCTGTTATCATTCAAACGTTACTTAAAAACAGGTAAAATTAAATAATATCAAAACACCGTAGTATTTCTTGGTTTACGGAAAGTCTGTTCTGCCATTATCTGGAAGCTTATGGAGGACCAATCCTGCCATAATTAAAAATATATATGTAATATTTATAAAAAAGTAGATAATAATATGTTTCTTGTGTGCCATTAAATGTAACAAAATAATAAAAAGAAGATATTTCTTCAACAGTTGATAAATTATTCATCAAAAAAATATATATTTTAACTTTTCTTCTTTCTTTTAGGCAGACTTTTTTTTAACCCGCTTCTTTTCTGTTTTTTTGTTTTTTTTTTACCCAAAGGATTTACGCCTGCCCTTTTATTTCCTTCTCTTTTTCCACTTCGTATATTTCTACTTCCTGTTTTTTTTTTTACTTGCTCTATTTCCACTTGGTCGTCTGCAGCCGTTACTGTAAAAAGATGCTGGGAAGGGAGGGGGAGGGGCATCACCGGCAAAGCTTCATAACTATTGGCCAAGGCCTGGCTCCTGGCGGCAACTCATCTAACTCATCCAATCTGTTGGCAACCCCGCTTAATGGATCAGAAACGGAACGTCTCGACGGTGCTTTATTACTGTTTTCAAGGCTGCACTTTAAAATATAAAATTGTCTAGAGCTGTTCTAAATGAAATTTCTTTTTGTT